GAGTGAAACCCAAGCCACTTGCCACTTCTTCTCTCTCTTTTGCCAGAACTTTCCGGTGCCACAGAAGAGCAACAGGCCCACACCGTATGTTTTTCATTCATTGAGGCCGAAACTGTCTAAACGTTCCTTTTATGAGCTATTTGATGTCCAAAAAGCCTTTAGAATCGCGTTTATAACCCTTTAAAATGCTCACGCCTCTTCGAAACAGGAAGGCACTTTGTGAACGGCATGGACACAGCCAGACCCTGGGAGACGGGAGAAGGGAGGTGACTCGTTTAGGGAGCCCGTGTCCTGGGCAAAAGCCTTTGGCATCCCTGGGGTGCCTGCCCGTGGCCATGCTGGTCAGAGGGGCGACATGACCGAATCAGAGAGCAGGGGCCATCCCAGCTCCCTGGTGTGCGGGGTGGCCTTGGTTAAAAGGCTGTTGCCGAGGGAACAGCTCTAAACGGGCCAGCACCTGTGACCGGCGGCCCATCGCAGTTTAGCAGAACCGACGCTTGGCGGATTCTGGGCCCTGCTCTCTGTATTTCCCCTGGGGGCTCACCCTCTCCAGGGCCCCTTCCCCTCACAGGTAATGCAGTGGAGATGGGCCAGGAGACATCCCAAGGCCATTCTCAGTCTTTTGAAGCAGGCAGCTAAGAACTCTAGAACTCTCCATAGAGTTCTTAGATGCCTGCTTCAGACACAGCAAATCCCTGGCTCCCGCAATACCAGTCACCCACGTGGCACCAGGGCAGACGTGGGAAGCTGACAACGATAGCCGTTTTGCTGTCCTCAGGCTTGGACAGGGAGCCCCTCCCAACGGAATTCTCCAAGGGGCCACCTCCGTTCGGTCAGCACTCACACAAGGAAGTGGACCCGCGGGCCGACCCGCGGTCCAGGCCACAACGGAAGGCGTGAGGACAGTGCCTCCAGAGCAGGAGGTTTAACCGAGACCCAGCTGTGGAGGCAGGCGAGCGAAAACTCAACAGATAAGGAGCAAGCACAGCAGGCGAAGGGGAGGAAGACAAAGGAAAACAGAACAAAACCTAACCGTGGGCGAATAAACTAAGATGAAAACTACAGCTGAGAGCCACGTGAAGGTGACTGGCTGACTCCGAGTCTCTGTTGCCTGGTCCACCCAAGGGCGAGGTGAGGTCTGTCTTCCCATTGTCGCTGCTTTCTTTGCCCTCCGCGTTTTAAGTTCTTTTTTGTTGACAAAGTACCTTCATTCTCATTCATTGCGATAACAATAATACCCTCTGTGCTCAATGCCAAGGCTCACTACTGGTCGTCATTTATTGTTCCCGAAGGAAGGGGGGCCTCGCAATCATCACACACAGGGAAGGTGGCCAAGTCTCCTATTTTCCTGAATAAAAAAGCAGTTTTTAAATCCATGAAGTCTTGGGCAAAAACAGAGTGGAGATAGTTTCCGTTTATTTAATACACAGCATATTCCTGATGGCGTCTAAGTTGTTACAATGGCCTATTAATGACAAGTAATATTAACATGATCCCCAAGAACCACCTTATTGAGATGCAGAGAATGGAGACTCTGGAAAGTTCTGCTGCTCAAGGTCACAGGGCAGGTCAAGGACAGAGCTGGGGTTGGAACTGCGGTCTTCTGACACTAGCTTTACTCTTCGAATCCACGTTCCCATTTTGGCCTCGCGTAACCCCGAGGAGACAGGGCAGGTGCAAAGATGGAGATGGTGACAGGAAATGACTCTGTCTGGGGTCACAGGAAGAAAACCTGGTGGACGCTGGGGCTCTCGGGCGAGTAGGAAAAACAATCGCAGTGTTCTGTAACTCACGGATGTTAATCTCCCACTGATGGTTGGCTCTGGGACAGAGGCGAGCTTGAGGGCTGCTGCATCCTCCTGAAATTTTAAGAGGCCCAAGGGAGCCAGGAGGAAAGACGCTTCAACTTGTTAGAACGTTGAAAAAGATGTATGTTCCCAGGGAGACGTCAGCAGATGGTCTGTGACATTTGTTCGTTCGTTCAATGGGCAGTTCCTGAAAGTCCCCCGTATGTCTGGTCAGGTCGAGACCCTTGGGTGAGTGCTGGGTTGGTGGGTGGGGGTGGACAGCCCGTGAACTCACAAAGCCCAGAGTCACTTGAGTGGCCTTGATGCAAACTGGAAGGCCCCCAGCTTGGAAATCAGTGCGAATTTGGGTTGAAGGCTGGCTTGGCCAGTCTCCAGCTATGTGACCATGGGCATAGGACTTCACCTTGCCGAGATCTAATTTCCTGATTTATAAAGTGGGGACAGTGACAGAAAGCTACTCATGGGGTGGCTGGGTGGTTTACTTAAGATCATATATAAGATGCTTCTCATATTGTCCGACACATAATCAGTATTCAATAAATGAAAGCCCAAACCATTTATTTATTCAACAAGTGCTTACTGACCACCTACTGTTTACCGAGCACAGTTCTTAGCACTGGGTACTAGTATCAGTTGTTATCATGGTCTTATAATGACCGTGCAGGCCTGATTTCCTCGGACTTTATGGTGGCGCCTTGAGACTTCAGCTGGGCCTGGTCCAGGAGGTGCGTACGATGAAGGAGCTCGGCAGAGGCGTCTGGGACTCCTGACGGCTCTCAGGGTGGGGAAGGCAGCTCTTCTGCTGAGTGGGCAAATGGCCTCGGGGACCCCTCCATAGGAGAACGGACATGAGGCCCATCTCAGCCTATTTCTAGGGCTGTTCCAGTCACGTGTTTCTTTCGGTTTTCCCTCCTCGGCTCCTCCCTTCTGTCTACCTGGGACCATCCTGGTGAGGTTCCATGAGCCTGGACCAGCTCCCTCCTGACCAATGGCAATGATGGTGGTGTTGGATGTTGATGTTGTTGTGGAGGATGGTGGCAATGAGGACAAGGATGATGATGGATATTGTTTAGAAGGTAATGGCGATGATAACGATGATCAATTACCATGGGCTGGGCACCCAGCAATGCAATTTTACATACTTCTCTCCAGTCCTTGCAATCATTCTGCAAAGTAGGACTTATTATTGCATGTGAAAATGCAATAATGAGAAATATGTGGCTGAGGAGCTGGGAATGTCCCAAGGCCACACCACCAGGAAGAGACAGAGTTCGTTTTAAACTTAAGACACCAACTTCAAACCATTGGTTTTGACAGTGGAATGATGAGAGTATGGAGTGTGTGGTTGTTTTCAGATGTATCATCTCTGTGTTTTATCCCATCAAACACCGACTGTGAGGTAGACACTAACTTCATTTCTATTCCGCAGGCTCAGAAAGAGAGGCAACTGAGGTGTGGAGCGTGGCTGCGGTTGTGGGTCTGAAGCACACACCCAAGCAGTATGACTATAGAGCCTGCTCTCTTGTTTCTGTTTAAAAGTTATTATCATGTTTTTGTTGTTTTTTTTTGTGGAGGTATAATGTATTCACAGCAAAGTACACGTGTTCCTGAGTTGCGATGGGTTTTCAGGCCTGCGTACACCACCCATCGCTAGCTAAACCCGAGCCACTAACCCACCCAGCCATGCTGATCTGACCCCTTGTCTGATGTCACCAGAGTTCCTGATGCCACTCCTCACTTGCCAGTTTCCCTTCCATGCGCGGTCACTGCATTAACACCCACTGCAAACCCACGTGATACTCATTATGGTCCAGACGCTGTTTTGAACACCTCACATGTAGAAACTCCTGTTAGCCCTGTGACGTGGGTGCTGGTCCTATGGTCATTTCCATTTCCCAGATGTGACAACTGAGGCACAGAGAAGTTAAGTGGCCTGTCTTGAGGTCACACAGCTGGTGAGTCCCAGCGCTGTGCACCAGATGGGCAGCCTGGCCCTTCACATGCTCGTCTCCCTAACTACACATGTAATTCCTACCGAGAAAGTGCAGTGAGCAAGCCCTGTTTACCGATGAGAAAACTAAGACCTGGTAATGTTAAAGTCATTTTCCTAAGTAGCTCTACCGGCAAGCCACAGAGGAAGGGAGGACTCTACTGAGTTCCAAAGATGCGTGTTCCATCACCATGCTGGGCCAGGTCTGCACAGCTCTCCATTGCAGTGACAGGGGTACCTGCAGACCCCTCTCCGGGAACCTGAACTTGTGGACACCAGGAGCTCTGTCTCATGGGTCTTGTGTCCTCTGTAGTCCGTGGTCCTGCACCCCACTGTGTAGTGAGAGGAGGGAAGGCTCTGGAAGAAAGGGGCTTGCAGAGCCCCTTGTGTAGTGGAAGTCGGGGGTGGCAGAGCCCCGGACCCCACCTCGATGAGGCTGTGACGACCTACATGTGGTGTGACTCACCTCCATGGCCTCCTCCAGCTCCGGGGTCCACGTCTCCTAGCTTTTCCTTGGGGGATAGTAAATCTTGAGTTTTCCATTTTCCTCCAACTTGAGAGGATATGAATTCCGTAAATCTTGGCCTGATTGAGCATCAGGGCACATGATGTATGACGGGAAAGAGGCCAGGGAGGCAGAGTTTACACAGAGCGCAGCATCCAGTGGGCAGACGGGGGTCCTTGGGGACCCCTGGGCTGCACAGAGAAGCCTCGGCAGTCTCCGGCTATAATCGATGGTCACGGTCACTGCTGAGCCAAGGGCCTAAGGGCACTGCCGCTGCTTGGGGCAGAGGTAACAAACTGCCCCAGATTGATGCGGTCCCTGTCCTGTTCCTCACTCTTGGCCCTTGACTCCCAACAGACGGGGAGGGAAAGGAGACCCATCCATTAGGGCTGACAAGGCAGCAGGAAGGACTTAGCTGTGATGAGAGGAAGGACTTCCTGCAAGGAAAGGTTATTAAGCCCCGGGAGTGAGTTATTGAGAGAGGTGGTGGAAGGGACTTCCTGACTTGGAGACCAAGATGGATGGTTATCGGTCTGCAAGCCCGGCCCAGACTGTCTGCAGGGATCCTTGACCCCTTTGGGGAGACCGTGCCTCAGCTGCATCTCCTCCAGGGTCATCTGAGAACGCTCACTGAGGACCGCACTCCTCCGTGACAGCAGGTTTCATGTTTTTATTTTTTTTTCTACCATAGAATTACTGTACTCGTTGTAAAAAAAAATTCAAATCTGAATAATCCAGATGAGAAATGAAATGGAAGTGAAAACTCCCCCCTCACTGCGCCGAGAAGCCCCGACTCCTGTATCTGCACATAACAACTGCCACTCCTCAAGGTAAACCGCAGCTGGCTTTTCGGATGCGCCTTCACACACACACAGTAGTCCGTGTACGATGGTTATTTCCCGCCGTAGCCGGGCACTCACCCCACTCACTGTTCTGATGTTTGCGTGTTTCCCTGGTTCACGTCGTAGGCGCTGCCCGTGTCCTTGTGTTTCATTCTCGTATTTTGGGGCAGTCGCTTCATCTGCCACGCTGCGGAGAGGCTGTTACTCCTTCCAGCGAGCCTCCGCTGATTTCCTTTGTGGTTGTGGTCCAAAGTCTGTCCACGCCAACAGGCTGCTGTAACACGGTAGCTATGTCCCTTGGTCTGTGTCAAGGGCATTTCTCCGGGACAGATTTCTAGAAGTAGAACTGTTGTTGTGCAAAGTGAACGTCAGATGTTGGAATGTGACTGCTCTCTGAAAAGGTGCAAAGTTCTTATTCCCAGTGTTGGTGAGGGTGTACACACTAATTCACCCCGCACCAGCCATGGTGAGAAGCACTCTGAAATGTCTGTTAATGGGCTATCCTGTTCCGATCCATTTCTTTTATTTCTAATATGATTGAGCATCTCTTCCTAGCTTTGCTGATGAGTCATAACTTTTATATATTTCTAGCTTTTATCTTTTTAACTTTTAATCTCTTTTAAAGATTTCTGGAGTTTGTTTATTGGGGTGACAGTCAATAGCATATGTAGGTTTCGAGTGTGTACGAGTCTGTGATACATCTTTTGTAAATTGCCTGTATGCCCACCACCCAAAGTCAAATCTCCTTCCATTACCAGCTTTTTGCTTTTTTAAGGCGACTTTGTAAATCTTTTTCTTTTCAAATAGATTATGGCTTATGGTCCTTTTGACCGGTTTACATGACGCAAATATGGGCACTCAACCTTTTATTTTTCTGTCTCATTTCTTCTGCTTTAAAACTGTATTAATATGTGTATTGTTGTAATATGTTAAGTAAAGCAATTTGTGTTCTTTGTAAAAAAAAAGAAAATAGGTCAAAAGATCAAATGATAAGAGGATATTTGATGCTATTGAACTGTATCCTTCACAACAGTTAGGATGGTAAATATTGCCACGGTATTTTGAAAAGAAAAAAAATCACAATTTCATCTCCCAGAGAAATTTAGCCCTCTTTCCCCTGGAGATGGTTTTCTCTGCATTAATACACTGGATTACTACACACACATTAATATTCTAACCTACATTTCCACTTAAACACATCAAGACTAATCTTTAGCATTTAAAAAGTGAACATGATTACTGATGGCCCTGCTATGTGGTAATAATAAAATTAATAATAGCAGCATATTGTTGAGGGTTTACTATATGCTGGGCTCTGAGCTTGGCCCCTTTTTGTATAATCTCATTTAATTCTTTGAACTGCACAAGGAGGCGGCTGCTGTTATACCCCTTTCTCAGATGAGGAAACTGAGACGTAGAGGTGAGGTCACGTGTCTAAAGCTGTTTAGATGTGAAGGCTGAACTTGAATGCAGCACCCAGATGTACCGCTCTATTCACCATATAGTCATACATACAAATATAATGGATTAGTTTCCTACTGCTCTTATAACACATTGCCTGGAATTTTCTCCTCCTTTCCTTCTGCCAAAATTTCAGGGACGTCTCTTCTCTGGTGCAGAGTGACTCCCTTTACTTGAGTGTCTGTGAGTATCATGCCCTCTCAACTTCTTTCTTTAAAAGATTTTTAATTTATTTATCTTTAGAGGGGAAGGGAAGGAGAGAGGGAGAGAAATATCAGTGTATGGTTGCCTCTTGTGCATCTCCTGCTGGGATCTGGCCTGCAACCCAGGCATGTGCCCTGACTGGGAATTGAACCACGATCCTTTGGTTCGCAGGCCTGGGCTCATTCCACTGAGCTACGCCAGACAGGGCTTCAACTTCTTTTCGGGAGCATGTAGCATCGTTTACACCAAATCTGCTCAAATTGTATTCTGCAAAATGACTAGCGGCCTGAACATGTCAAAGGAGGCTTTGAGGAGGGAAACATCCAGCCACCTACCCATCCATCCATCCTCTATCTTTCTATCATTTATCTATCTATCCATCCATCCATCTATTTACCCATTCACCAACCTACTTATTATCATCTGTCTTCTGTGATCAAATATGCTGGGAGCTTACCTACTTCCCCATCCTATACACCTCCTCAAGTTCATTAACATTAAAGGCCCAAGAAGAACTACAGTGAAAAGAGAACTTGCCAAAGCCCACTTATTTCTGCCTTCCCCACCAGTTCCCACACTGAAGGGCACACGGACTCCGTTTTGCAAGTACTTTTCCTTCACAGAACACCGTCTGGAAGTGGTGCCCCAGGGTCCCCTTGGGAAGGGCTGAGCTAGGCACTTGCTAATAGACCAGCACCTGGTTCCTCCGCGGCCTTGCTAAGTTTTTTTTTTTTTATTGATTATGCTGTTACAGTTGTTCTATTCCCCCTTTCATTCCCCTCCACCCTACCCCCCCATCCCCACCATTACCCCCCCTTTAGTTTATGACCATGTGTCTCAAGTCCTTTAGATTCTATATTTCCCATGCTATTCTTGTCCCCCCCCATCTATTTTCTATCTACTGTCTATGCTACTTATTTTCTATACCTTCTCTCCCCTCTCCTCCTCAAGTTCTTGCAGCTTCCAGCGTCCCCACAAACTGAGCACCTATTATGCGCCAGCCACGTTATGCTCACGATGGCCCTCGATGTTGCAACTTCAGGCCACCCCCGATGTTACAGATGAGAAAAGGGAGGCTTGGAAATTAAGTCATTTGAATCTTTCACTGAAGAGACCTCACGTCCAAGTTAACTTCTGCAGAGAACGCCGGTTTCCTAAAACCCTACCTGAGTTCACGAAGAGCTGAAAGCATGTTTTACATCCAGAAGGAAAGACCAACAGCCCTTCTTCTTTGGTGGCGCATTCATAAACAGATGTAAGACAGGAAATCGGTCCCCTCCGCCCCTGCCCCGGGGTGTCTGCGGACAGAACAAAGAGCGCGCTTCGGTGCCCGGCCAGCAAGCAGAGCCTGCGCCGTGATTGCTGCCCGATGCTGCGGATGGATTCAAGGCCCGGGTCCATCTGGTTTGTGTATCGTGAACGAGCTGTTAAAGTGTCAGGACTTAACTTCTCTGGATTCGAGGAAGTCTCGTGAGGGTTTATTGAGCAGTTAAGATGGGTGTAAACGTCACTGGGGGGACCTGCTCCCCTGCTATGATCTAAGAGATACGCAGGTTCGCAGGATGGAGAAACTCACCGTTAGAAATAGGGAGATGGACAACCCCCTGCCCCCGCTCCAATGAAAACGCCGGGGACTTGGAATGCAGGCTCCATCCACTACGCCCCATCACAGCCTCCGTTCTGTGTCCAGGCTTCTGTGTCTCCTCTGGGACGCGGAGACCCTAACCTTGATCACCTCACAGAGCTGCTGGATGTGACAGGTAATGCAAGTTGTAATGGAGTGGGAAGGGGCGGCCAATGGCTTCACTTTTCATTTCCTCTCTCAGAAGGAGCCAGAAAGAGCTCCAGAGACCTCCTCTCTTGTCTCTGTTCTCCCCCTCTGCCGTCAGAGCTGCGCAGTACACACAGCAGGAAAAAATTCCTGAGGATAACACAGCTGCTCTGGTTCCGGGGCATCAACTGCTTCTGAATGTCCACCGGCCTTGGAAAGAATATGAGAACGTAGCCCCAGTGCCTTGATACACTTGGTATCAAAAGATGGAGTCTAATATCCCTCTCCTTGAATATGGGCCAGGCTTAGAGACTCACTTCGAGTAAATGGAATATGGAGGAAGTGATGCTCTGGGAGTCTTGAGGCTAGGCTAGAAGCCATGACCACTTCCCTGGGCTCTCTTGCTTGGGGCGCCCACCTTTGGGCCTTTAGGAGTTGACGCATCTCTCTGCCTCCCCGCATCACATCTTGGTTTCCCTGCCCTCTTGTGTAATGACCCCATGAGATTGCAAGTGGGGAAGTCAAGGGTCAAACAAATGAACACTTGAACGAATAATTTTAGATAAGCTAGCTGGTGACATGGACCCCTGCTCTTCTGTTTTCAATAGCTTTCTCCCCTTTTTTAGTCAAAAGCACCCTGCTTTCTTTGAGGGCCTGCTCTTTTTCCATGCCATGTGGTTTTGCTATAAACCTGCTGATTATATCTGGCATCCTTACATTCATTGTCCCAAAGGTGGACATGTGACCCATGCTGACCAATCACAGTTATTCATGCTCCTCTGGCTGCAGTGATTGGTTAAGGGTAGGGCGCATACCCCAAACAAAGCAAATTGGAGTCTCTTCCTGGAAATTTACATGGGCAAAGGAAACGGAAAGGATATCAGCATGAATGGAGCTGTCTTTCTGCACACATACTCAACTCCAGCCACGTGGAGAAGAACCATTTTTCAGGAGGAAAAAAATGGCTCAACACATAGAAGGCAGCACAACCAAGGGAGAGAGAGAGAAACAGACACTTCGAGCTCCAGAAGCCTGTGGGTCGCCCCATCTCTGCATCTGGGCTGTCCCATGAGTTGACCAAGTATCTGTTTTGATTGCGCTGCTTGGACCCAGATTTCTGCTACTTGCAAAGTAGGAGAGTTCTGACCCAAGCCTGTGTTTTGCAGGACCCATACAGAGAGCTATGAGTGGGACTAAGAGGAGGAACTGACAACATCCACAGGGTCCAGAAGGCTCCCCTGAGAAGTGAAGCCTGGCCGAAATGAGAAAGGTGAGTAGGAGTTGACCAGAACAAGGGGAGGGTCAAGGGCCGGAAGAGTGTTTTCCAGGTAGAGAGTGTGGCACCTGCTCAGGACCTGAGTCAGGCCAGTGGGGAGGCCCAGAGGAGGAAGGAGCAGGAGGTGGTTTTCAGGATAGCAGGGCTTTACAGAGAGTCGCCGTCGCCTGAGATGGGACGCACCCTCTAGCCCAGTAACCAACGTGCCTATTTCTAAACACGTACCCATCACACGCTGCCGGGGAAGATTCTTGGTCACTCCGTCTCCCCATTTTCCCTTGCATCCAGCCATGGCCTCCAAGCCTCTTGTCTGCAACCCCTTTTCTCTTCTCCCCTCTTCCAACCATTCTTGGTACCTTTCCTCCCATCTCTGGTCTGCCTGCAGCAACCAAAAGCCCCTTCACTTATTACACAGATGGGAGGGCTTTTCAACTTGAACATGCACCAGAATTAGAATCTGCCTGCAGCAACCAAAAGCCCTTCACTTATTGCACAGATGGGAGGGCTTTTCAACTTGAACATGCACCAGAATTAGAATCCCCTGGAGAGCCTATGAAAACACAAGTTGCCAGGTCCCATCCCCAGAGGTCTCGATGCAGCAGGTCTGGAGTGGGGCCCGAGAATGAGTATTTCCAACAAGCACCCAGGGGATTCTAACGCTAAGCAATTGGCTCTTCCCATCTTCAGCCAAAGGGTCATTCCCCTCCATCACGAACACACGAAACACCCCTACTTTAGTTTACTGATTTATAAAGTGCTAATAATAATGGTACCTGACAAGATTGTTTTATGTGAGGTGGTTAGAAGAGTAACTGGTTATGATTGTTTTTGCATTTTGTATTTCCCAAAGTTAGCCACCACAAAACCTCGCCTCCTATATGCTAGGCTTATCATGTGGCCTTGACACTCTTCTCATTGAGTGTGGGGACCATGTCTACTTGAACTCAGGTGGACCTTTGTGACTGCTTTGACCAATAGTGTAGAAGAACTGACGCTACATGACCCCATGGCTACTTTGTAAAAAATGCCATGAGCTTCCTTCTCTTATCCTAGATGGCTCACGTATGGAGCTCAGCCGCCACATTGTGAGGGAGCCCAGACTAGCCCATATGGAGATGCCCCATGTCAACTGTCTGGCCAGTAACCCAGCTGTGGTCCCAGCCAACAGCCAGCATCAACTTCCAAGCATGAGAGTGACACGTCTCCAGATGTTCCCAGCCCCTGGATCGGCCCCAGCTGAGGCCCCAGATGTCATGGGCAGAGACAAGCTGTCCCTAGGATGCCCTGTCCTGATTCCTGACTCAAAGAATGAGTGAGCAGGAGACTTGCTTGAGCTGCCCCTCATTCTTCCAGAAATGCAGCACAGGGCTCGGAATATGGGAAGCACTCAATGGAATATTTGCTCACTTATTCATTGAGTGAACGTATGGAGTAAATGAATGAAGGCGCACAGGCCACCTGTCCTGGGGCGTGGCCTTTCAGATTTTGTAAGCCTCAGACCCCTTCCGAGTCCACAGGACCCAGTGCAGTTGCACAGTGGGGTCGTGCGTGTGGGTCTCCACCGGCTGGACGCAGCTGGTCTTCGTCTCAACAGGAGCCCTGGTGCCCCTGGGAGAGGAAGCAGGGGTGATGGTTTATGGCCAGACTGCTGGGCTTGCATTCTGAGTCTCCTCCTTTCTGTGGCCTTGGGCAAAGTTACTTACCTCTCTACTTCTCACTTGTAAAGTGGGATAATAATAGTCTCACTGCGTAGCATCATTACGAGCTGTGTTAATACACGCAAAGCACTGACAGCTGATGCTGGCCCACAAAAGGTAGTCCGAGTTTGCTAGCCTGTTCTGTCTCCCTCTGACCGCCCAATCCAGGTACCTGCACAGAACCGGCTCCTGTCCTGCTCATCGCAAATGGCTGCCTGGTGTCTCCCTGGTCTCCACGTCTCTGGATTCCAGGCGCTCCTACACAGAAGCCCAGCCGTGCACAGTGACAGTATCCCGTGGAGAATGGGTCACACCTGTCAGGGTCCTATGGCTTCAGTGGCCAGGGAGGCGATGTCCCGCTGTGAGAGATAACTTTCCCTGAAGATGGATGGCCTTCCACCCCTTGACACAATGTCAACGGAGAGCTCAGAGGCCCTGCAGGGAGACAGAAGGGACAGGACATGCTAGTGGGGTTGAGTAAGGGGGCTTAGTTCACTCTGTTTCAGTAACACCCAGCCCTGCAGAGTGCCCCGTCTCTCCCTGGGGCAGTAACTGCTCATGGTCCCTGGGTTTCTTTGCACACGGGTGAAACCCAAACGCAGTTCGGGGTTGAGTGGCTTGAGGACAAGTCCTTGCTTTACCATGACCTTGATTATTAAACTTGGACCTGTTGCTTCACATCCCTCCAGTCTCAGTTTCTTCATCCGGAGAATGGGAATAGTAATACCTGCTTCATGAACTGATCCTGTGAACTCTAAGTAACATGCACGTGAAGCCCCAAGAGAGGCCAAGAATGAGGTACAAAGCTTCCCGAATAGATCAGCAGCAGGAAACCTCTGACCTCCAGGTGCCTTCTCTCCTCCTTGGAATCAGCCTCTGACTTCTAAGTTGCAGGAGATGATGCCATAGATGCACTTCTAAGATGCATGGAGATTGTTCATCTCCAACCCCTGGCCAGCTTCATACCTGCACCTACACTTATTACAGCCTCCCAAGCTCCCAATGGGTGCCAATGCTTATCCCCCCCACACACGCAGGGGGGAAGTGAGGTCTCAGAACTGGCCCCGCATCAAACGCATGCAGACGTGCCCAAGCCAGAATTCAAACCCTGGTCTCTGGTTCCAACCTCTGGGCCGCTCTATTTCACTTGAGCCTAGATGATACTTCCTGACCCTCACAGGCCTGCCCACACCTCCACACACACGTCCAGTCCTCATGTCCCCACCAGCCCCCTCTGTCCGAGCTCTGAACTTGTCACAGACAATAAGCCCCAACACCAATGCATCCAGTCGGTTCCCAAAATAAACTGGATGCTCGTGGATACTTCTATGATTGACATAACGTCGGCTGGGCTCACTGCTAATTAATGCAGAGAGGAATCATTAAATCAGATGAAATTCATTTGAAAAATTTCAGCTCTGCTCTCCTCGCCATTGTGATGGCTGCCGAGTCGGCCGGGGGGAGGAGAGAGGGGACAGATACTGCGATTTAATTTTTCAAGTAACACTGTTCAAATAAAAATACATTTGTTCGAATGAGATTGCCCCGAAACAGCGTTTGCATTGATGGCTCCGGGGGTAATTCTATTAAAGCCGGAGCGTATTTTTCATCGGGAGGCAGGAAGAGAGAGAGAGAGAGTGAAGGGGGAGGGGGAGAGAAGGGCTGAAAGCTGAATGTACCCTTCCGGAGCTGCAAAAATCAGATACCTTAACCCATTTTACCTCGGTTTTCTCCACCAGAGTTGTTAACCATCTGTCCCCTGCTCTGGGACTCAGAGGACTCGTCTTATCTCAGACACGATCGCTCTCTGGGGCTCAGCGGGGCGGGCAGCCACCTCTGGGCACGCGCACCCAGTATCTGCTGGGCCAGGTGAGCCAGAAGCCAGGGTGGCCATAGGACTGTGCCTCGTCACTGCTCCCAGACAGAAAGGAGCTGGAGAAAGCACTTTGTGTGTGTGCACATGCACACACACATGTGTACACGCATCCACATATATACGCACACGAATGAATGCATATAAGCACGCACACACACAAGTACATCCACACTTTGCACACATGCAAACATGTACATGTGTGCACATATTGCCTTTGGGTGAAGCTATATGTGTTTGTGCATCCGCACATGACAAGCACAACATGCTTGCATACAACATGCACACACATCATTGCTGGGCTATATACATGTACATGCAAACACAAAAGATATGCCTACTCATGTGTATGCACAGATATAACATGTAAACACCGCTGGGTGAGACTACGTGTATACACACAGGTGCATACATCTTCCCATGTACATTTGTCAGTGTCTGAACTAGGCGATGAGTCTGAGAAATAAACACAGCCATCACTTTTGGGTCATTCATCGCGGACAGGACGCCATGCGAAGTGCCCCATAAACCTGAGCTCGTCAGGTCCCCCTCCCGGCCTGCAAGGCACACACACGGAAGGTCTTACTTCCTCTGCCGGACGGAGGAGGAGAGGAGACTACAGAGCGGAAGCGCGTGTCCCAGAGCTGCGACCGACAAGTGGCGGACCAGTCGTAGGGCCCAAACTCGGGGTCTTCGTCTGCTTTATTTTCCAGAATGAGCTGGCTACGCCCCAGGAGGTCTTTGATGACACCCCGTTTGCTCATTCTCTCAGCTTTCCCATCCGGTCAGTGGAAGAAGGGGTCCCCACCCCTCTTCCTGATTTCTCCCGACTTCTGTCCCCACCCCCCCCCCCCCAGAAAGCAGTGCCCTTTCCCTTAGCTCCATAGTGATGTCATCGGGCTGCCATAATAACCATTACAAACTAAGTGGCTAAGACAGCGTCAGCGCGTTGCCTCGCAGTTCTGCAGGGCGGAAATGTGAGATTGAGGCACCGGCAGGGCTGTGTGCCCTCTGAAGGCTTCAGGGAGAAGCCTCGTCTCTTCCACCTTCTGGTGGCTCCAGGTGGCCCTTGACTGGTGGCTGCACCCCCGCCCCCGATTTCTGCTCCCATTTTCACGTGTCCCTCCCTGTCTCTTCTTTTCTAAGGACACATGTTACTGGATGTCTGACATGCAGGAGGCACCCAATTGAAATGTGTTAAATAATAACAACCATCATTACTTTCTTTATAGAGCACAAACTGTGTGCCAGACTCCAAGCATGTTACGTGTGGAAGATCATTTAATCCTCACGACAGCACTGTGGGGGGGGGTATCGTCAATATGCCCACTTTACAGATGAAGACACTGAGGTTCAAGGAGGTCAGGTAACCCATTCAAGTTCACCGAGAAAGCCATAAATGGGGCTCCTAGATGGATCGCTAGAATATCGTTTAAGCGCCTTGACTAACTTTTGTTTCTACTCTTTAGTCAAGTCTCTGGGATGAGATTCATGAAATAGGAAGTCAACAGCCGTGTCTCTGGTGGACTGTCCAGGGCACATGGGACAATCATTGGCATGTGCGTCCCCATCGTTTTTCCCAGACAAGTCCAATGAGAACTTTTCTCCAGCTGCGCATCCAATGCACCTGGGTGTGAGTTGGGTTCCTGGGGCAGGGCCGTGGGCCACTGTGGCATCCAGAGTAGGAACCAGAGGCAATGATGCCGTACGTGACACTCAAAGTCAGTAGCCTCTTTGGGATGTGTCAGAACATGGTGCTGAGAGGGCACCACACAGAGTTATGGTGAAGGCCAGGGCGGAACCTTCTTTGTGGAGGAAAGAGAAACTGGACCCCGTTCATCACCCTCCAGTAGAAGTTCTCAAGGTGCTAACTGTGTGGGAACTCTGCCGGACAGCTTGGCGACGGGTGCTCAGTGTCCCATCCCACGCTCTTCCCTTAAGGCAGGAAGGTATGAGAGGTGTTTGGGACAACAGATGCCATGCAGAAGAGGGGATGCTCACCCTTCATGAAGCCCCTACTGTGTGCCAGCCCTGGGGAGAGCTGAGCAAGCACTGACTATCATTCAGTGTGGTGAATTTTAGCCCCGCCTGCACATAAGAACCACCCAAAGGGATTTTAAAAGATACAGGACACCCAGGACCCAGCCCCCGAGATTCTGAATTGGTCGGCCTGGGCTGAGTCCCGACAGAGGTGCGTGCCATGAACACCTGGGACGATTCGAACACAAAGCCAGAGTTAAAAACACACCAGTCTAATGTTTGCAATCCAGGGCCGATCTGCATTTAGAGATGATGAAACCGAGTCTCAGAATAGCTTCAAAATGTAGCCAAGGCCGCACAGCTAGCACGTGGCACAGCTGGGGTTCGTGCCCAGTGGCGTCCGACTCCGGATTCAGGGCTCTTTCTGCTGCTGCCAAGGCAGCCGGGGTGAGCTGGCCCCCTGGAAGCCTTCCATGTCACTCCCGATGGCCCTCAGTCACGTACAGCCGGCAATGATCAATGCCATCTGAGTCCAAGGGACCTCTCTCGAAACTCTCCTCCCCAGAGGAACATGCTTCGGTGGCTCTACCTTGCACAATGCGGACTGGAGTCCTGACAATCTGGCTGATGATGGAGATGGGGCGGGACTGAGAGTGGGAGGTGGACCCAGTGTGTGGAGTTTATCCTCG